AAAATTTTTATTGTGGTAAAATACACATTACATAAAATTTCTGACAGTGACCAAAGTATCAGCTCACTGCACGGAGCACATTTACAATGCTGTGCAACCACCACCACTGTCCAGCTCCAGATTTTTCTTTTTGCTTTTTTCTGGAGAAGGAGCCTCACTCTGGCACCCAGGCCGAAGTGCCGTGGCACAATCTCGGCTCACTGCAACCTCCACATCCCAGGTTCAAGTGATTCACCCGCCTCAGCCTCCTGAGTAGCTGGGATATGGCACTTGCCACCATGCACAGCTAATTTTTTCTACTTTTAGCAGAGACAGGTTTTCACCATGTTGGTCAGGTGGTCTAGGTGGTCTCAATCTCCTGACCTCATGATCTGCCCACCTCAGCCTCACAAAGTGCTGGGATTACAGACATGAGCCACCACACCTGGCCTTTTTTTTTTAGACAGGGTCTGGCTCTGTCGCCCAAGCTGCAGTGCAGCAGCTCAATCTCGGCTCACTGCAACCTCCACCTCCTGGGCTCAAGCAATTCTCCTGCCTCAGCTTCCTTAGTAGCTGAGATTACAGGCACATGCCACCACGCCCAGCTAATTTTTGTATTTTAGTAGAGATGGGGTTTTACCATGTTTGCCAGATTGGTCTTGAACTCCTGACCTCAGGTGATCCACCTGCTTCAGCCTCCCAAAGTGCTGGGATTACAGGTATGAACCACCACGCCCAGCCAGTAAATTTTTTAAAAGGAAAAAAAGAAGAGGATAGAACAAAGGAATGTGGCAAAATCTTAACCACTGAATCTGGGTGATGGATATAATGGGGCGGGCGGGGCGGGTGGCAGACGTCACTCTATCATCCTCTCTACTTTTCTGTATGTTTGAAATTTCTCATAATAAAAAAAAGAAAATCTGCCCTATGAAGCAAGGTAGTAAAAGCCAGGTTACTTATTGTTGCAGTTCTCATTCATTTAAAACACAAACCTTTCCTTCTCTAACAGACTAACGTGATGTTTCCCAGGTGTTTTCTGGGGCCTCCAGAGAGCCTGCATCTTCTGATATCTCTAGGCTTTGGCAGCTTTGGGCCACCATTCTCAAAGCACCATGAGGCACCAGCATTCTGGACCGAAATGCGCTCAGGGGAAACACACACCAGGCTTCACACCTGGGGGACTCCCCACCCACGCTTCTGCTGCCCACTTCCCAGGAGGCCGCAGGACAGCCTGGGACAGCTGTGGACTCTGCCTGTTTTTTTGTTTGTTTTTGAGATGGAGTCTCCGCTTTATCACCCAGACTAGAGTGCAGTGGTGCGATCCTGGCTCACTGCAACTTCTACCTCCCAGGTTCAACCAATTCTCATGCCTCAGCTTCCTGAGTAGCTGGGATTACTAGGCATGTGCCATCTCACCCAGCTAATTTTTTTTTTAGCTTTGCAGTATTTTTAGTAGAGATGGATTTCATCATGTTGGCCAAGCTGGTCTCAGACTCCTGAGTGATCACCCAAGTGATCCACCCTCCTCAGCCTCCCAAAGTGCTGGGATTACAGGTGTGAGCCACCATGCTGGCTGCCCACTGTTTCTTACAACCTTTCAGAAAACCTGCTGGAGGGGTTTGTGTGTGGTGGCTTATGCCTGTAATCCCAGCATTTTGGGAGGCTGAGGCAGGAGGATGGCTTGAGTTACGAGTTCAAGACCAGTCTGGGCAACCTGGTGAAACCCCATCTGTACAAAAATACAAAAGTTAGCCAGGTGTGGTGGCATATACCTGTAGTCTCAGCTACTCCTTGGGGGCTTGGGGGATAAGGAGGCACTGAGGTGGCAGGATTGCTTGAGCCTGGGAGGTCTAGGCTAGAGTGAGCCATGACTGTACCACTGCACTCTAGCCTCGGTGACAGAGGGAGAAGCCACACTCACTTAGGGTGGGGTGGGGTGGCCACAGATGATAAAATCATAACCGATTCTTTTTCCTTTCTAAAATTTGGAAGTCTGGAAGGCAATCTATCCCCAAATAGTCAAAATATAACAGTGGCAAAATGAGTGACTTTATTATTTCCACCATATTGTTGTAATCTTGCCGTTATACTGTCTTGCCAGTGAACTATATTAATACACTGATAGGACTTGTCAATTCTTATCCTTCCAGAGAAGAAGCAAAAACTCACCCCGGAAATGCCATAGCATTTCTGCTTCTTGCTTTCACATTGAAAGTAACTTCACAGTTGAAACTATTCAATGGATTTCGTTTGCTGTCTTTCCCTTCCTTCCCAGCCGGGTCAGCTCTCATGGGGAGCCCACACTTGGCTGCCCCGCCAACCCCACAGTCTGCCTGAGTCCTGTGATCTGCTCCAAGCTCCAGGGCCCCCCTGACGGGGCTGCCTCCCACAACCCACTTCACACGGCGCCAACCTACCTGGTGGGCTTCCACACCTATTGCTTGCAGGGCAGACTTGAAAAACTCAGGAGAAGGCTTCCCCACAACCTCGGCTTGGATGCCACAGGCATACTGGGAAAAGAGAGGGGGACGTGGCATGGGCTTGGGATCAAGAAACAGGTGTATGCCCAGGTGCAAAAACCCTGTCCCAAAGGTGCCCCCAAGGGTCAAGAGCCTTGAAGAAGCAAAATGCTGTGGGCCTGAGAACACATCTCACAGGCAGGAGCCTCATGAATCCCTAAAAGGCTGCCTGGGTCCCTTGGGTCACCTAGCACCAGGCATCCTGCCATGCGCTCAAAGGCCTACCTACAGCAGGAGGCACCCAAGAGCTGGCAAAACTGCAGGACTCCCAAGGGCCAGGAGAGCAGTGCTTGCTCACTCAGCTGCAGCTCGGTTCTCTCACCCCTTCTCCCCTTCTCGTCCCCGGCCCACTCCCAGCTCATCACAGGCCTCTCCCTCCCACCTGACTGCAGGCAAGCAGGACGAGCTGCTGCAGCTGTGACGATGGGATAGCTGTGAGGCTGACCTGGGGCAGCTGATGGGACGTGGGCCAGAGTGGACCCGGGGGAGCCCCACCCAGAGGCCGGGCCACAGATGGCCTTGGAAACTGAATGGGGAGTCGGGAAGGAGTCCAGTGAGGACCCGTCAAGCCTGAGGTGCTGCAGATGCCCAGGGTCAGGAATGAGGCTGGTGGTCAGCACTGCCACAGGCGCCACAGCCTGGAAGGAGCGTGGCAGGGAGGAGCGTGGCAGGGAGGAGCGTGGCAGGGAGGAGCGTGGCAGGGAGGAGCGTGGCAGGGAGGAGCGTGGCGGAAAGAAGCTGGGAAAGCTGCAGGGCCCACGGTGGGCAGGGGGCTGTGCCCACTGG